ATTCTTGATAAATATTATGTATTTTATGAAATAAAAATTCAGAATCATCTTAGTGTTGAGGAGTAAATGAGCAAAGATTGAAAGAGAAGAGGAAAAGTGTAGTTGTTTTATTGTCTTTGAGGAAAAGAAATAGGAATAGGTTGTGGTTAATTTTCGATAGCATCTTAGACTAGAGCAGTAATATAAGGATAAATCTAAAGCAACATTATGTTATCTTCATGTTATTGTTATGGGAAACATATTTTTTGCAGAACTAGTTTGATGATATGCATCTTGGCTACCACTTAATCTGTTTTATTGACACAAACTGAAGGGAAAAAATCTATAATGTGATTCGATAACAAACTTGGTGATCTGTATTTTGCCATAGTTTGTCTTGTTCTTACATAATTTCTCTTGTTGCATGCATTTTCTCCACTTAATATAATTCTAATTAATTATGGAACATGTCTAATTTATTGTAATCGATTCAAAAGATACAGAATTGGTTCAGAAAAATTCCCTTTGACCGTTTTTTTTTCTTCTTTCAGATCAAGCGGAATAAACATATATTTTTTTCAGATCAAGGGAAATATATTTTTTTTTGCCGAGTTTACAATTTTATTTGGAGAGATGGCAAATGCTTAGTGCGGGTCCTGATTTGATATGTAAACTCATTAAATAGCTTAAGAGTGTCATGAAAATGATTATTTTAAAAATCTTTTTTATTTTCTTAGAATGAGGAATTAGTGAGAAATTTTCTAGACCGGACTCTGACATCCCGCCTTGGTCTAAGGATGCTTGCTGAACATCATTTGGGTCTTCATAATGAAAATGATCATGGACATGTAATTATTTCTTTTATTATTATTTAAATTATTAATTTTTATAATTAGTAGTTATTTCTTTTTCATAAGGTTTACCTTATAATTTTTATTGAATTATTCTATTAACATATTTATACTTGGAATATCTTGATAGAATTTTAATTAAATTATACTAATTAAACAGCAAAAATTAACAAATTTTTTAAATGTCTCTAAATTGCTGTTGCCCAAGTTCAAATTATTTATTTTCATGAATTGTTTTTTGATCTAGTTTATGATTTCACAAAATTATCTGATATTACATGTGCTTTTATTATACATTTTAGTTTCTTTAAAGCATTATTTACCTAACTCACTGAAAATGTTTTTTCTTCCAAAAAAAAAAAACCCTTTACATTTGTTTCACAGTTGAAACACACATTGAAATTAATGAGCATCTGGACGACTTAGTGCAAACTACTTCTTCTCTGTGTTTTCACTTATTTACAAAGGAAAACTAATAGGTATTGCGAGACAATTTGATTGTGAAACATTCCTGATGAAATGTTTCACAATCATCAGGAATGTCGAAGTTAAAAGATATTTGTTAAGAGTAACGCAAAAGCTATTGCTGTAATCTAATACACAATTCTCTTCAGTTTAATTAGCTATAATATGTCCCTTGTTATTAATTTCACTAACACTTCACAATCTAAAACTTATTTAAATATATATATATGTATATATATATATATATACACAGGTTTTCNTATATATATATATATTAAAAGGAAACTATTATACTTACAATTCTGAAATATTTCAAAACCAATTCCAATTTTATTCTCATTGCATTAAATCTTCCTCCCTACACATGCTTGCAAAAGTTAAAAAAATTATATGTAAACTGAATAGTTCACACATGTACAAATCATATTCTTGGTATACAGTGAATATCGCTACTTAGAGTGTTATGTGAAAACTTTGTAAACAATTTATATTTTCTGTAGAAAACAAAAGTATTGCCTAAAAGAATATTCACTAAAAGATACATTTAATAGAAATAAAAAGTGCATGTAATTACAAACTTATTTATTGAATGCAACTTAAGATAAAAATGCAATAATTATGAAAATTGCAGAGAAAAAGTATAAAATAAATAATTCCAAGTTGCAACAATGTCAAGCTGCTCAACACGTTTGTCATGTAGCATAATGCTGACTTCTGTGTGTATATTTCTCTATAGTATCATATATCTAAAGTTATAATATTTAGCGCCTGGCAAAATGAATGATTTATCATTCAGTGTTCCATCGGATGGGGGAGTATCTTGGATGATCCGACCGATACCCCACGTTTGCTTACCCAGATAAGTTTCACAATTTTCTTCCTTTTCGTATTTGCAGTAACGTCAAAAGCAGGACTTGTACTAATTTTAATCCTCAAGAAATTACTGGCAATTAGGCTAATGTAGCTTGTCAAACAACAAATATTATTTATACGATTTCTTGTAAGTTTTGTAACATGAAATAAATATAAATTAATAACTTAAATAATATAAGTTAATTAAGACATCAATTGATAATTTTTAATTTATCATCATTACTTATTGCTTTATATATTTATTGTTTATTTTAGGGCAATTTTGTAGGGATAATTAATGTTTCCATGAAGTTAAAGGATGTTATTGAGAAATGGGCTGACTTTGTGAGGTGAGTAAATTATTTTAATGTTCCCTGAACAGGGTTATCATAGCTTATTAAACTCATAAGTAATAAAATTCATATAACTTAGCTAATATTTTTTTTATATTGTTCTTTGTCTGTATTTCTTAATTATTCAATCATTCATTGACAAATTCCATTTATTTATTTTTCCTCATTTTTTTAATTATGAAAGCTCTTAGTGATTAGGTTTTCATTTTTGTAGAAATTTTTTATATTATAATGTAAGGGATGCTTTAGTTTATCACAACATTTATAGTTAATTTTAAATGTGATATTTTTCTCTCCAGGCAAGTAACCATGCACAAATATGGGAAATCTCCAGCTATAAAATTAAATGGCCACATCAATGCTGTATTTCCCTACATCCAAGCCCCCCTTGATTACATCATCCCAGAGCTTTTAAAGAATGCAGTTCGGTAAGTATTTCTCTTGATTTTAGTTCTTAAAATGATAATGTATTATCAGGTTTATTACAAGAATAATAATGATAAATTTGATTTTAGAGCCACAATTGAAAGCCACCTTGACACATCTGAAGAGAGCTTACCACCTGTTACCATAACCATAGCTAACAATGATGTTGATTTCATTATCAGGTAATGTTGTGCATTTGAATTTTTTTGTTAAGAACATTGCTCTCGTATTTTTAATTTGTTATTGTCTTTTGTGAAAATATATCTACAGTCAATTCGCTATAACTCGAATATTACTATAACTAAATTTTTTTATGAGGTCCCGACCCTTTTATCTTCAATTCCATGTTAATTATTCTTGATTACTCGAATTTTACTCCTTTAACTCGATTTTTTTTGGATCTTTTAAAGCAAGAAAAAAAACCTAGGAGCTGATATCTTGCCCCTTCCTTTGCAACACACACACAATGTCTTTCGCACTCTTCATGGAGAAGCTAAAGCTGTCCCTCTTGAAGTATGTGAACAGTGGTTAAATGAAACGTTACCAAATTTACTTCAAGGATACAGTTAAAATGATGTTTTCAATATTGATGAAATGGGTTTATTTTTTAAATGTCTTCCAAATAAGACTATGATGTTTAAGGATGAAAACTGCTCAGGGGGTAAAATGAGCAAGGAACGTTTGACTGTCCTAGTTGGAGGAAATGCGTCTGGGACAGAGAAATTGCCCTTACTTGTTATCGGAAAATACCGAAATCCCCGATGTTTCAAGAATGTAAAAACGTATCCTTTGGATTACAAGTCTAACAAAAAGTTTTGGATGACATCAGTTTTATTTGAAGACTATGTAAGAAAATTGGATCGGAAATTCTTCGCTAAAAAAAGAAAAGTGATACTCTTTATGGATAAATGCACAGCGCATAGTGATCTACCTAATTTGAAAGCAGTAAACTTGCAGTTTCTCCCGCCAAACACAACAGCAAAGTTGCAGCCGATGGACCAGGGTATCATAAAGTGCTTCAAACAGTCTTATCGTAAATGGCTTGTCAGAAAAATGATCTTAAATATTGTAAGCATTTAGAAGATTTGTAATTAATAAGCATTAATTAAATTGAACCAAAATTAATTATTAATTAAATCCAAAACCGAAACTAACGGTAAGTCGAACTTCCGATATGTCGAAGTTTTTCGTCAGTCCTATCAGATTCGAGTTATCGCGAATTCACTGTATTATGTTGAAAATTATTTTTTTAAAATAGATTTTGGTAAAATATTTTGTACAATGTGCTTAAATAGACTATGAAACTCATACACCTATATATTTTTTGTTTATTAATCTATTTTAATGTAAATTTAATTTGTAGATAAACTTTTATAATGGTCTCTGTATTTTAAGTCAAAAAATTGTTGAAGATATACATCTCATCAAAAGACCTTTACGTTTAGGTTTGAGATGATATAAAATAAAAATTGAGCTGATAAACTAATAAATATAAAATGGAAGAAGTGAATTTAAAGTTTTGAGTTAAGAGAAATTATGTTTTGTGCATGTAATAAAGTAATGAAAAGAAACTAACTTAAGAAAATGCTACCATTGATTTTTAAAAAAATAATTTTTAACATTTTAAATTTCAGTGTGTTAAAATTGCTTGAAACATACTTAAAATGATTAAAGAGATGTTGAGAATTCATTTTAATATTTTTTGATAAATTAATTTTGCTTTAATAACATAAATTTTATGTACTGCGATGCAATTTTAATAGTTTGAAAATCTAACTTTAAATTGGCTAATTAATTATGGAAATTTTAATTTATGAATTTATGCATAAAGATCTACTTCCTTCAAATAAATATGCATTTTTCAATATCATTCAAGCAATTTGTATTTCAGACTGACAAAATAAAGCAATTACTTAGAATCTGAAAAAAATGTTTTATGTCTGGAGATCATTCGGAAGCATGAATCCCTTAATTGTCTCTTTTCTTTTAAGCATTTTATTAAAAACAATATTTAAGCAATTGAGTACCTTTAGTTTTTTTCGTGTGTATATTATTTATTTACCTAAATATGATCTCATTCTTAAATAAACAATTTTTAATAAATAAATTTTTATTGCATAATTTAATAATAAAAAAAAAACCCCATCAAATTGAATAATTTGACCCCCTTATTTACACAAGAATAGTTTTGTCTTTAGATAACATCAAAGTTGAACATCATAAATGATGCATAATTTGGTATTATAAAATAGATTATTTAAAAGATTTTTTAATGCTGCATCAGATTGTTATATAAGAAATAAAGTTATGAAATTTTCATATCTTCACTTTTCATCTTTGTGTTTTCATTATCCTACAACTTGACTGCAGAGTTTTGTCTAAGCTTTTAAGAAACTAAAGAATAATATCATTTTCATTTAATCTCTTAAATTATTTGTATGTTGCAAATTTGTGAACAGGGTAACAATTCTTTCACCTATTTAGTAGGGATTCAGCAGAGCTACTGCTGGATCAGGAAAAACGTTCATCTTTTATTTTTCTTGTCTATGATGTCATATACATGATGTCATGTATGACATTGTACAGAGAAGAGACAGCTTGCTTCTGTCCATTTATATAACCATTTAGACATAGAAGTTTGCTTTTTCGAAAAGCTGAAAGTTAAAGTTTATGATTTGAAAAGAAAACTATTAATTCTACATCGTTTGCATCTCAGAAACTTATATTTTCTTTTCTTATTTTAAAAAATAACTACAGTACAGAACCCGTTATCCGGAAATCAGAAAACCGGAAAACCAAAAAACCGGAACGAAATTCAATAAATTTTCCTGCCATTTAAAAAAAAATTTTTTTTACACATAAGATCTTAGGATATTTCTTTCTTTTTGGAAAGAAGTTTACCTTACTATCATTTTGGAAATAATCATTAGTGTATTACTTCGTTTTTTCTTCTTTTTAAGATTATTTCCAAATATTATTTTTTTTAGTTGGGTTTAACAATAAAAAAACGGCTTTTTGTAGCGATTCAGAAAACCGGAAAAATCAGTTATCTGGATAATCGGTTCCCTACTGTACTTTAAAAACAAAACCTGAAAGTTTTTTTATTGTGTGGATTATCACATTAAATCTATATAAATTGGTTTCAGTGTGTGCAAATTTCTTACATTTTGAAAAATTTCGCTTTGCCGGGAGATTGTATTGTTTGCAATGATCTTTCATTCTTCATCACTTGTATTCTTATCTTGTTTCCTCTCAAATTAGTATTCTTTTAAACTAATCATAACCAGATATTCCCTTCTCCTCCTTTTTGTACAAAATACCTTTCCTCGTAATCGCATTTTAAGCGTTGGTAAAATACTAAGGCAATTGAATTTACAATAATTAATTAAATGCAACTTACTTTGCTCATAAAAGGAACCCTGTAAGTTGTGGAAAAATACCTCAGATAGGGAACTTTATTGATGTACTAAAGAATTGTTTTTGTTAAAAATTTAGTTAATTCAAAAGACTAAACTAAACTCAGTGGTGCGACAGCCCACAGAGGGCAAAGGCCTACTGTGCCCATCTCAGTTTTCCTGACCTTGGGCTCTGGGGTGCAGGAGTAGACGTTCTGGTTAGGTGGTCAGCCGAACGTGAAACCCCTAGTGTTTAGTTCCTAAACATGCTTGTTGCTCATTTATCGACCCACTGAAGAGATGAAAGGCTGAGTCAAGCTTGCCTGGCCTGAGGATAGAACCTAGGACCTATGGCTCAGGAGTGCGAAGAGCTACCACTCTGCCACCGGGTATCAATTCAAAAGACTAAAGGCTCCTATTGTTTATATACTGTTTGTAATTAAATTAAATAAAAATTTAAAGTATGTCAAATAAAAAATTTACAAGACTTCAATATTTTATTGATAATACGGAAGATTGCCATACCACAAAGATTACTGTCCATAAATTTTTATTGCATTGCATTGTATGTCATATTTAAATTTAAAATGCATTTGAAGTAAGCAGAAATATATTTTGTGAATGAGGTCTTTGAATCTGTTTGGATGCAGTTTTTATGACAATGTTATTTGTTATGCCTGGGATATTTTTGTGAATTCAATTTCATTGAATATTTTTTTACTCAAGTTAAATTAAAAAAGTTTTATAAAATAAGATGCATTCATTTCTATACTTATAGCAATTAATCTTATTTATTTATTTCAATTCTACATTAAGTATGGTTTCTTTAGAAATCTTTTTTAAGGAAAGCTTGACTTGTTTGTTGCTGATAACTTTCTTTTTAATAATTTTAATATTTGATAACAGCAGTTTGAGATAGCTGTTTCTGTACTTTTCAATTATTTTGTTTATCTCAATAATTAATATTTGACCTTCTACGTTTCAGAATCTCAGATAGGGGATGTGGCATCCCTCATCATCTCTTACCCCACATAATGGAATATCACTTCACGACTGCAGGTGACAGTACAGATCACAGGCTTGATGGTGGTTTGTTTGGTCAAATAATGATGGAGCCAACTGATGGCCCAGCTTCAGGGCCTATGCATGGGTAAGACTTGACTCCATCATAAACCTAGTTTTATTTATATTTGTCTAACAAATTTTAATGAAGATTTAAGACTTTTACATCAATACTACTTTCAGAAGTTTGACTTTTTTCTACCCACCATATTACCAATTGCGGGTTATGGCTGTCTAGAACAACTTATACTATCTCAATCTATCAAATAGAAGCACTTCCCATTTATTAACTTATTTCCTACTCAGCCACTTTTCCACATCATCTAGTATGTGGTCTACCTCTCTTCCTTTTCCCATCTGGCTTGTTTTTTTTTTTTTAAGAAAAAATAAAATTATAATAAATAATAAATTGAAAGACCTTCAGTTACTAATCTTGAATATCAATATGTGCTTGTGAAATCCTATCAAGAGGTATCAATAATCATTAGAAAATTTTAGTAAAAGTAGACACAGTCTACCGTCCTGATTTTTGATGAAAATTGTAACTTTTTCAATCTTTTGAAATCTTCCTGGTAAATTTGTCATTATTTTTGAAATTTTTATTCTTCTTTTTCAATTTTTTTAAATAAAACTTTAAAGTGTCTGAATTGAAAGTAATCACATTTATTCTGTTTGCTTTTTTGAGGGAACCACATTTTTTCCTCAATGTTTTTACAATAAGTAAAATTTCATAATTTCATGTCCTTAAAAAGTATAATTATTCAATGTAATTTTAAATGTTTAATTCAACAAAATCTATTAGTAATATAGAGGATTAATGTTCTACTAGGTTATAAGTATTTTCTGATGAATATTATTTTTGTTGTAACTCTTAAATCTTTCTTAAATATTATTTTGTATTAACTCTTAAAATCTTTCTGTCAATCAAAGAATATAATTTCAAAAATTATATTCTTTGATTAAAAAATCATTTCACCAGAAATAATTTTTTTGTAGTTATGTATTGTTAATATAATTCCCTGTAATATTTATAACGTTTTGTAGTTTTTTTCAAGCTCTGTGATTTTTATTTTTCTAATTTAGTTAGTATAAAATATTTCCTCATTTTGTATTTAATCCATACGAGAATATTTTTTACGGTTATAGTTCCACTGTCTAATCTAGCATAAATAGTGGCTATTTTAAATAACGAGACAAATATCCTTCCAGCCCCCTTTAAATGCAATAAGAATGTTAGAAAAATTAAACTCATAATGATATCCTTCATTGCAAGAAGTTGTAAATCTCTCAGTATGTTACAAGTTTTTAAAATTGAAGCAAAATAAGTAAAATAAAATATAGATAAGAGAAAGGTTTTCACTTCATATTAATGTTAAAAGAGAAATTTTTTCCTTCAGAAATTGATTCATATTGTTGTCTAATTTATAATAAGTAGTAAGACTCTCAGGATATTACTAATTTCCCAAAGTTAAGCAATTAAATAAGGTAAATAAAATACGAATTAGTTGAAAAGTTTCAGTTACAAAGTTAGGGTTTGTTTATGAAAAGGTGCTGTCTATATTTTATATCTTTTTTTTATTTATATAACACTGTTATTTTTTCCTTCACTTTGTTCTTTTTCCTAATGTTTCTGTTCCAGAAATGCTTTCTGGCATTTAGTTCAATCATTTTGAGTATGTAATACTACAGATTTCATCTCAAATTAGTGCCATATTCTCTTGTGCTATTAATCTCAGCATCCAATTAATCAAATCACTCAATCTATCTTCATTTTAAGCTTTTAAGTATCAGGAGCCTGACTTTCAAAGAAATCAATAAATCAGCATATTTTTGTTTTATTGTATAGCAATTAACATTGTTTTTTATTTTGCAATTTTTGCTTGGAAATTAAATTTATACAAAAAAATTTTAAAATTTTACTTTTTAATTTTCATGCAAGGTGGACAACAGATGTGCCTGATATACATCAACATGCGGAAAATTTGTCACTGTCGTGTGAAATTTTTTAGCACTACTCATTTCTTTTTTAAAAAAAACTTTTGAAATTATGATGTTATATGCATACATATATCACACTTTTTTAAATGATAACATCAAGTATCTAATTTGATTATGATGTGTTTCAGTGATAACATATAATGAGTGATTCTATTCAATTAATACCCTTTATTTTTGTACTATTATAAAATTGTAAAAGGAGTAGTGCAAGAAAGCAAGATTTTTTAAGTGTTGAAGAAGTGAATTAAAAAGTGATTCTGATGAAAAAAACTTATACTATCAGTGTTTTCATCATAGAAAAAAAATGGGTGAGAATTTCTCACCCTTTCTCAAAAACAGGGTGAGATTTCAGAAAGTTAAGTGAGATTTCTAAAAACTAAAAAAATACAAATAGAATTCTTTTATTATAATACATTTTTAACGTCTATTTTTTAAAGCATTGAATATTTTTGCTGCATCATCATAGAAGATTTTGCCTTTACTACGTATTTGTCCATCTTAAAAAATTTGCATAAAAAATTTTAACGTCTTACATGAAAAAACATTTCCTACGTTAAACACGTGGTTGCAGAGAAATGTGTTCTGAAAGGGGTTCCGTGGTTCGGGAACATTATAACCTAAAAGCANAATATCCTTCCAGCCCCCTTTAAATGCAATAAGAATGTTAGAAAAATTAAACTCATAATGATATCCTTCATTGCAAGAAGTTGTAAATCTCTCAGTATATTACAAGTTTTTAAAATTGAAGCAAAATAAGTAAAATAAAATATAGATAAGAGAAAGGTTTTATTTATCAAAAATATACTTCATATTAATGCTAAAAGAGAAATTTTTTCCTTCAGAAATTGATTCATATTGTTGTCTAATTTATAATAAGCTGTAAGACTCTCAGGATATTACTAATTTCCCAAAGTTAAGCAATTAAATAAGGCAAGTAAAATATGAATTAGTGGAAAAGTGGATATTCTGAGTGAATCTTTCTGTTGCAAAAAAAAATCGAGCATAAATGGAAACTAAATGAACTAAAAATTTGTTTTTTATGTCCATAAAACTTCTAATCTGTAAGAAATCTTAGCTGATATTTATTGGCTTTTCTATACATATATATATCAATATGGTTTTTTAAAAAAAAAAAAACTTTTAAAAGTGGTTTTCGAAAAGAAAAAAAAAAGAATTCGAGAAATTAGATAGTGATGAAAATGTTGAAACTAGTTACGAGAGTTAATTAATTGCTTGTGAAATGTTTTTTAATTAACATTTTGTGTTCACAGAAAGTTTTTCATTTTCAAATAAAACAAAAATGTTTTCAGAAATAATTTTGCAATTTTTTTCTTAAATGCATTTGTTTACTGTATCATCAAAACATGCAGTTAGAATATTGTGCAATTTTATGTTATATTTGTATAAAAAATTTCAAGGAAAAAAAAACGTATTCATATGTCAAATTTTCTATATTTTTTTTCCAATTATGATCAGTAACTGAAACTGTTTATTATTATTTTTTTTAGATTTGGTTTTGGACTGCCAACTTCCCGGGCTTATGCTGAATATTTGGGCGGGTCTCTAGGCCTACAAACAATGCAAGGCATCGGTACAGATGCGTATTTAAGACTACGTCATATTGACGGAAAATATGAAAGCTTTCGTATTTAACTCTCCAATATGTGATAATTGAAAGTTTAGGATTTGTGTTCTAAAGGAAACATACTAAATAAATCTCTTTTTGCTCTGCTTCTGTTCTCAGTTATGAATGTTTTATAATCTTCTTGTGTCTTTGTATTTTTTTAGCTGCTTTATTAATTTAAAAACTTTCATGTATTAATTTAGTTCTGTGTGTTAGTTATACATTAAAAAAGAAAATACCAGAGATGCACAACCTACTGTCCGCAGACTTAAATGTCTCAAAAAACATTTTGACTTCTTGTCTTAAATTTTAATAAAAATGTAAAAGAAAAAAGTTATTATTATTTGCTAGTAAGTAGTTCAGTCTTTCTCATATAGTCAGATTGTTACGGCTTTACATTTCTTTCATTCTCAGAATTTCAACTTTATATTTCTTATGTTTGCTCTCAACATATATGTTCTAGTTTTTATGATGAACTCTCTAAAAACGGTTGTGCATTTCTGGATTACGCATTTCTGTGTTTGCTTAATGTGTAGTGTAAGTTCATATATTATTTGGCTTTTATTCAACTTACCAGTGTTAGATTTACTGTTAATCTATCATGTTAAGTAAATTTTATTTTTTACTCCAAAATTTTTGTGAGGATGCTGATTTATTTTTTATGCATATGCTTTATTTTGTATTACAAATGTAATTTTATATGCTTTTTATGGTGACCAGACTATACTAAATTGTTTAATGTTTCCTAATTATTAGTGCCTGATGTGTTATGTTAGATGTATCAGAGGTGCCAACTATTTCAATTGATCTGTAATTATCAGATCTCCTATTTAAGATTATTGTCTTGTGGTTGAGTCATAGAAATTAGTTTTTGAGAATTTCCTTAATAACTTTTAATTCATGTTAACTATCAAGAATAATGAAGTTTTGTTCTTTGCAACTAATCTAGGATAATTTTTTCAACTCCTTAAACTATTCTAAATATAATGTATGGAAACAAAATTATTTTAATAGAAACAGGAAATAAATATTTTTTTCAAGGAACATAAACTAGGATCTGAAATGCTGTGAGCAATATTTTTTAGTGATACAAATGCAGGATGATAAAAAGGCAATAAGGAATAGTTTTCATTTAACGAAGAGCTAGAACCAAATTATCTATAAGTCTTATTAATTTATAATGAAATCTAAATTTCAGTGTTATAACTTCTAATTTTTAATCTAGTACTTCTATCTAGGTATTACTTTAAAAAAAAAAAATGGTTAATTCATGCAAAATTTTGTTGATATTATATACCTATATAGAAATAAGTAGTATATATACCTTAAAATTACTCTGATTTGAATTTCATAAACTCTTAATTGCATATATTTTCTGTTTTATTGTACTTCTTATTATGGATAGCTAATTCAGAAAGCTAGCACTATGTTTCTAATGTTAGTTGTGTTCAAATTTTTTTTTTTATGTTGAGAAATTGTGTGTATTTTATACATGTGCTTTATATTATGCCTTATTTTGTGTTTGCTATAAATGAATCTCTATAATAAATTATTGAAATATGAATTTCAAAGTGGCATTTCGTTGTGTAATTTGTTTTTGTTTCCTATTGAACATAAGTCTTTGATTTGTATGGTGTTTAAAGTTTGTAGGGAATGTTTTGTGTTTTTTAGTTGTAATTCATCCACAGTGGTTAAAAAAAATGTTAAATCCAATTTTCTCTTTTTTTAACTAAACAAGATTACTTATTGAAAGTGCCTATGTGAAAAACTAAAGTTTTCTGAGATTGTTTTATTTTTTTTACTGTTTTGTATTCAAATTATTTTTCGTTTTATATTAGAATCCTTTTTTTAATGAAAAATGTATGATCTTAACTCAACTTTTATATAAAATACTACTTTTTGAAATCAATAGAAAAAGTATTCATTCTTAATTCATTTTGATATAAGTTATTTTAATCGAGCGTTAATACTGTAATATTCTTGTTACTATGGTAGCATATAAATTGGTAAATGCAGGTGAACTTTCTTTGTTTTTTTAAATAAATATTTGTATGTTCAGCATATTTTTGATAATGTTATGATTCTACAATGTGAGATTATTTTCAAATAAACTTTTTTCTACTGATATTAAATTTTGACTTCAGATTATAATGATATTGCACTTTTTTTATATATGCTATAGTTTTGTAATTTTGACCATAAAGCTGACAAATAAAAGTGTAATTTGCATTTCTTTTACTTCATTTAGTTGTATTAAATTATTGTTGTCATAAATTAGTTACAATAGGTTTAACTTGTTGAAAAGTTAAACACAAGTTGTATGATTGAATTTGCCTTTTCTTTATAATCTTATTTCAAAAATACACTTTAATTTTTTTTGGACTTATTGTTTTATTTCATTTAAAGCAGCCTTATAATTTTTGAAATTGTGCACTTTGCTGGCTTAATAGTAATAAAACTCATATTTATTAGTAGTGAATCAAAAAATTTTATTTTTAAAATTCTGTGGCAAATAAAGCTTCCTATAAGGCAAAATTTTAAAAATAAGTGCACATTCTTTTTCAACCTTTTATTTAAGATTTTTGTGATTTGTTATGAACTGAATTTTGATAACAATCATTTGATGTCAAAACATTTACTTCAACTTGTAAACATCAACTTCTATGACAGTTTTAAAAATTATGTTCTACTATACTTTATGTAAAACAATGCAAGAAGATGTAGGTTTTTAATCTCTTAAGCTCTCTGAAATTGTTTTACTTTCTAATTATTGCTTCTAAATTTTCACGTATTTAGCAATAACGTATTAAATAACTTAAAAATTAATGCACATATTAAATTATAGTTATAAATTATTTAAATATTTTAGATAACAAATTTTCCATGTATCAACTAACATTACAAATATTCAATCTAAACATCAATTATTGAACCAAACAGCAATTTAGAGTTGATCCTTTGTGGTTCTAATTTAAAAATATTTATCTCCAAAAAAAATTTAAAAAAAAAAAATTCATTTTTTCTTATTTACGAAAATTATCCTTAATTCTTTATTTTTTAAAAGTGGAGAGTTATGATACAGGTGAAACCCAAGAGTCTTGTAGCAAGTATTGATACAAATGATGTCTGTGTGTATATATTATTAGAGAAATGCAGAAATGTAACTAAAATATTTGGTTTATTTGAAAAATATATTGGAAAACAAATTGCTTGTAGAATATATTTTAAATTTTTCTGCTATAGGCCGCAAATGATAACAGTTATTAAAATTATTGCTCAATAATACTGTAGTAATACCGAATTGTATGGTAGTATTGAGTCTCATTTGAGCGGGTAAAAAATGACACGTTATAGTTACCACATTTAAGATATTTTTGCAATTATTTAAAAAGATGGCAAAGTTTCCTTTCTTTTACAAATCAACTACTGATAGCAGTGAAGACTGGCTTCATACCAGGGTTGGAATTTCTTCCAGTATAAACCTTTTTCAGAACATAGGAAAAACACTAGGCAAAAAAATACACTCGATTTATATTTTAAAACTTGAAATAGAGTACATTAAAGAGTATGTGTGACGTGGACCTTGGAAATACCTGTATTTATATTAAGCATAGTCGAAAGTGCTTCTATGAATATTACAACCATTTAACTGTCCTTTAAAAATGTTCCAAGGGAAAATTCTTAAGATTGTTTTGAAACTGATTATAGCGTCAAAATGTTAGACGGAATCCTCGTAAAGACAAGAAGAAAAAAAAATATCGCAATACTAAATGGATTGTTTGTAAATACAAAAAAGTGACTTTATCTTCTAAACCTGTGTGATCATTGATTGCTTCGTTTTTATATACTACTTTTCGTGTATGTCATGTTGGAAGTTAGCAATCGAAATGGTGACCACTTTCCGACTGACTGTTAACACGTTGAATGTCATGGGGGTGACCGGCACTGAGTTTGTTCGTAGCGCCACGGGGGTGACCGGTGAGGCCAAGATTATTAGAAACACATAATTCGAGTATATTTTTAATTTTTTTAATATTATTATCGTTACTAAAATGGTTAGAAGAAATTAATGCTATATAGAGCACACAAAATAGTTTTATTTATATACACAGAGATGCCAACTTGCTCCGGATAGCGAATGAATATTTTCAAGTGGTAATTTATTAATTGTGATTCTTGATTTAATAAATTCAATTAAGTAGATTTTTATCTATCCCTATTTCTAAACAATTCGTAGGTTTATATAATTCACCAATTTTTACAGATATGTTATGCAAAACCTTTTAAAAAACTCGCAAAATCTGTCTAATATTTGCAAATTTAGTTTGTAGTTATTTACTGTTTGGTCAGACGGGCAAGCCATGTAAAATTAGCGTGGCATTCAACGTGATAAAGCACTGAAATCTATCAGAACTCTATGCGTAATGACAAGGCAAGCTTGGCTGCTATTCGCGATATTATTGATAAATGGCATTCATCGACCCTGAAAATTATGACTACCTACCGATTAGATAGAGCTTATAAATTTTAACTTCAGCTCTGTGCTGGATGGCATTAGAAGTTTTAACAATTTCCTAACCACTCACCGACATAAACTAAAATCCACAAAATTGAAAAGGAAATAAAACGAAGTAGGTGAAAACTTTGAAAACTATATTTTTCAAGTGTACTTAAACCTTAAAATGTGAAAATGATTTTGTTCATCTCACACCTTAAACGAAAAACATTAGCCGCTTCACCTTTTTTTAATTAACTTCGATCACCACCGAAAATTTCCCCAACGTTTTTCGAAAGTGCTGCTCAACGTTTTTCTTCGTACGTTTGGCAAAACAGAACTATTTTCTCCCCCTTAAAAAGGCAAATTTGAAAGTGAAATTTTTAAATATTTTGCTTTATTTTATTTAATTTTGTAAATTGAAGTTGTCATATAATGAGAGATTATAACTGAAGTTGACACTTCCTTGAGAAGAATATGGAGAAATGATCTTATAATCTTCCTTTATTCGTTCTTAAGCTGCTTAGTGGGATCAACTTAGCTAGTTCAGAGAATTTCTAGGCTCACTTACTTATTTCTTAAAAGTATTCGAGAATTATTTATTATGCTTTTAAATGACTTTGAGTCACCATCGCTTTGCCAGGGAGGATAATATCATTATCTGCAATTGCAAAAGCCTATGGATGGTAATTAACTGCCCTTGAAGCAAGGCTTTATTTTGGAAAAATAATTCAATTTCTTCACCAAAATGCCCAAACCTACTATCTAAGTATCGAAACCTGCATTCATGAAACAGTTGTATTCATAGAAAAATGCCGGGTATTATGCCACCTAGTTTGAAAGTATTACTAAGTTGATTTCTAGGAGTAAAATGACATTGATCTGCAGAGAAACGTTTCTAAAAAAATTTTGGGGGGTAATATACAAAAGTTCCTCTAGTACAGTTTTGGTACCAGGCTGTATACTATTTTCAATGATCTTTTGTTTTCTAAATCATTGACTATATGATTTTAAAAAGAAAATGCTTCATGAATGGCGTAGGATCTGTAGTTCGTTTCTGAGTGGCTAGCCATAAATATATTAAAAGTGGTTATAATAAGTATATGTAATTAAATTAGTTATTTTTTAAAAAAATGAAGCTGTTATAATTCAGTCGTGAAAACAGTGTCGTCAATTCAATGTAGCCATTACATTTCATTTAATCAGGGAGTTTTTTTTTTTTTTTTTTTTTTTTTTTTTTTTTTTTTTTTTTTTTTTTTTTGAATCTTAAGAGTAGTAGTAAATTTTGTGACTTAATATTTTATTTTCGATTTAATGAATTAAATTTAGAATAATTTTTCCACCACTTCATACAAACAATTGAAATATATATAAGATCTATTCTGAAGAAAACAAAGTGCTGCTAAAAATGAAACATATCGACTTAAATTAGCTAAGTTATTAACAGGCCATCTGTTGATAACGTCAAAAGAAAAAAAAACAATTTTATGAAGTTATTTTCTGTTGTACTTTATTCGTTCGTTATTTTGACCATTTGTCATCTAATTTATTTGTATTTATAAACATTCATAAATTCGCACATTTAGTTGCAAATTATAGCATATACAGAAATGCCAAAATATTAAAAAAAACGGTAGATATCTGCAAAGCAAATTTTGCAAATATTCGTCTATAGTTGAATATTTATTTGCAGTCCGGAGCAAGCTGGTATCTCTGAATCTTGATTGATATGAGTGGAATCTCGGTGTTAAGCGCGAAGCGCTTCTAACCGATTCATCTATACTGTTTTGGCATTTAGTCTAGAGGTCATATACAGTTCAAAGTTCTAAGTTAGGATCAGATATATCTCTGAATCTACATAAACGGTTTTATATATATGCTATAATTGCAAAAAAATTTCGGTAGTTACAGAAATTTAATGTTTCTCGAAAAAAAAAAATGCTAGAATTAAATGTATTTTCTACCAGTTTTTGCTCTTTACCGTCTTGATATGTAAAGGCTTTCAGCCTTGTTTGTTACCATCACTATATCTTTATTCCATAAAGAGAATGTATTTGTTTGAAACTCTGCCCTAGCATATCTTTAAATTGATGTCTTAGAAATTAGAAATTCCTAACAGTAACGTAAATTTACTATCGCTATAAATTTTTTTAAAGACCGATTGCTACATTTTAGTGTGGTGATGAATTTCTTCTCAAAATTTCAACATGCTTAGCACCTGCAAATAATCTGCAAAAATATGTATAATCGCCTTGCTTCACTTTTACTTCTATTTTACAATTTCATTGCTTTATCATTTCAACTGTATACAGGGTGTCTCAGTTAAGCGTTTCAGAACTTCTAAGAGGGGTAGGGGGCATCCTGACGACTCGAAATCATATAGCAATGTGGGGTCGGAAATGCTTTCCTGAAGCGGTGACGTACACAGAAGCACCATAAAGAAAAGAGACCGTAAGTGAAAAATCGCTATAATAATCCATTGAAAAAATTATATGGCCTCCTCGGTCACCCGACCTATCATGTCTTGATTTCTGGAGTCATATGAAAACACTGATTTATGACACCCCTGTTGATAATGCTGGTTGCAAGAATCGCAGTAGCTGCCTGCGAGATATGCCTGGAGTATTCTGGAATGTTCGAATGTCCATGCGCCACAGATGTGAGGTGTACATTGTAACCGGTGGCAGAAACTTCGAACACTTACTTTGGCCCATGTACCATATAATTTTTTCAA